TAACTGAAGCTTTATGTTGCCTCTGTTGGGGCAAAACATATATGACTTTATGAAAATTAAAGCTTTCATACTACCTGACTGTATTAAACTGGAAAGAATAAAACAATAAATTGAAATTTTTTCAGTGAAAATCATTCATTTTTTTAGAATACTAAGGTAAAACTTATTTGATGTTTATTGAACGTCAAGTTTCTTTTAATAATAAAACTTTTTTTAAAAATTCTTGACAGGAAATTGTTGTATGAATTGCACTGTTTCAATTTGTCTTTCTTTGCGTAGGAGTTTTGAAAATGCTAGAAAATTGGTTACTGAACAATTAATGTTTCCATTGTTTTTGAATGACATGTGCAGTCTTTTGAATTTTTTAAAAAGAATTTGGGAACAGTAGTTGATAGTTAACTTTTCATGAATGTCACCCTCTGTATTTGATATCAAAAGTGTTAATTTTCTAATTCCCATATGCATAAAATTTATAGGTATTCCTCTGTGTGTGTGTGTGTGTATATATATGAATTTCTCTTTCATAATTTTTTTTTCCGTAGGAAATGAAAGTAAAAAAGCAACTGAAAGTGAAGTTGGAAATGGCAAAATTTCTTCGAGAAACTATGGAGGAAATGTCTGTACAAGCACGGGGAGATAAGCATTCCCACACTGCCAAAGAGTTTGCCCAGTTTTTTGAAAAGGTGTGTGTGTATATATATGCGTACGCTTGTATATACTCGTGTATTCAGCTAATCATTCGTAACTGACCAAGTATTCACCTCCATGATAGTCTGGGTTCATAGTGATAAGTTTACATCTTTATAAATTATAGTTTTTACTTTAAATGCAAAACTAGATATACAATTATTATTTGGTAAAATAATTCTTAATAAATATTAGGACTGGGTACAATAACACTTAGGACACTTTGAGCTCGTGAAATCCCTAAAGAATGCTGGTGACATTCTTTTCTAAAAATGAAACCCCCTCTTTATGCGAGTTAGAAATGGCATAAGAACCAAAAAAGTTACTTCATATTTTTACTATAGATGACCCAATTGGGAAATTCATATTCATGTATGGTTTGTACTAAGCTGTACTGATTTCCGCAAAATATGTTCATTATTATTCTGTGTAACATTTCAATACAAACAACACAGCACAGTCTTTCTTACAGTAATATAAGTTGTTGCTTACTCGGCTGGCTTTGATATTCATTTGAATTCAGACTAGCCACTGGGGCAGAAGAGAAGGCTTCCTAAAGATGTCCACAAGAACAAAGGATAGGATCAATAACATGAAGCTGAACCACACTTTCAAGTCAGACCAAGGTCCTAGTGCAGTATTTCTTAATCCTACATTAACAGCTATTCAAGATAACATATTCAAGGGTGGTATCCCTAAGGTACCATCTTGAACAATTATCTTTCTCACCTATTGAAATGGGTCCTCACTCAATCCTGGGAGTAGGAACAGACACAAGATCAAACAGGTACAACCTTACATCGTAGTATGTAACCTTTACCTAAACAAAAAGATTAGTGTATATTTATGGCCTTTTCCACATTTGGTTAGCATGGTTTCATTAACTTTGTGCAGAACACATGCACACAAAAATCTAGAAGAATTACCTAAATATACCTTATTACAGATATATTTACAGAACGGTGAAATTAACAGTTATTTTTCTTGTGGATCAGGCTGGTTTCAGAAATGCCCCGTATATTAATTATTATAGTTTATTTGTTGCATAAAGCTTCACATTTTAAGCAGCATTATATAAATCTCAGTTTGCCCCTGAAGAAGAAAGGTCCACCTTTTGAAAGCTCTTGGGTTATAGGGTTTTTATTCATTTCTATCAAGACTTCTTGAACCTACGTATTTTTCTAACATCATGAATGAATCTCATAATATGTGTTCGTATTTGAAAAACTTCAATATTTTTTGTGGATTATGTTTTTATTACATTTACAACACTCACAGTGTGCTGTATAGCCACAACATTTATTTTTTTCAAAATATTCTTCATCAAACTGCTAAATACTTTTTGTAAAACATTCCAGTTGGACTTAGGTTGTTTTAACAAACAATATTACTTGAAAATGGAAAAAAAATTCTATAACGTTATGTATGTGTGTTTTTTTAATTACAGCTTCAGATATTTTGATAGTTGTTGGATTTTAATGCAGGTTTTCTTTTTGTGGTTACGTGTATGCGTAACTGGAAGGCAGTTCTTTTTTCTACAGAAAAGTAAACTAAAACAAATTAGACCAAATGAAAAAACGTGGTCTGTGTCCACTTTTGATTCCATGTTTGTTTTATCATTTATCCAAATTAGCCTGTATGTTGTTCTCTTGGTAATCATATCCAATAAATTGATGGTTTCTTATTTTTGTAATATTCAGAGTGGAGTTCGTGTGTAAATTTTTTCATGAATGAAGTTTTAGAACGTCATTGGAGAAACCTACTCTTATAGCAGTAGACATGTTAAATAACTGTACAAGACAGATGTTCCTATTTCTGTGGTTGAAAGTTTTACTGTACTTTGTGCCTAATGTAGGTTCGACAGTCTGCAGAACAACCAACCAACGAAGAAATCATGAAATTTTCTAAGCTTTTTGAAGATGAAATCACTCTAGATAGCTTGTCACGTCCACAGCTTATTGCTTTGTGTCGTCTTTTGGAACTTCAACCACTTGGCACGAATAACTTCCTGCGTTTCCAGCTGAAGATGAAACTGCGCACACTTCATGCTGATGATCAGGTAAATAGTGTTTTTATGATATTTCTTGATTATCTATGGCCTTTTTTTTTTTTTGTCTTGATACAAAAAAGCACATGACCAAGAACCTCCAAAAAAAAAGCTAGTCAATACAAAACTAATGTTCAATATGGCCAGATGGTTAGGGCGCTCGATTCGCAATTTGTGGGTCGCGACATCGAATCCCCGTCCCACCAGACATGCTTGCTCTTTCAGCTGTAGGGGGGCATTATAATGTTATGATCAATCCCACCATTCATCGGTAAAAGAGTAGCCCGAGAATTGGTGGTGGGTAGTTAAGACTAGCTGCCTTCCCTCTAGTCTTTCACTGTTAAATTAGGGACGGCTAACGCAGATAGCCCTTGTGTAGCTTTGCACAACATGCAAAACAAACAAACTAATGTTACTGAAACCTTGAATACTTGAGGTTAGGCTTACTGGACTGCCATATTGGCTTAATACTTAGTTGATGCAAATTAAACTTTTAAGTACAGTTAAGAACTGCATTCCTTTATAAAGTAGGTGTCTTTATTATAGAAGTTTTTATCTTCTTAAATGTTATATTTATTATTTTGTAAACATTATTCAACATAATATCTAAAGCACATTTGATGGTGAAAAAAAAATCATAAATTAGTCCTTTCGTGTTAGGCTTAACCTCTAGAACTGTGTACTTGGTTAACACCAAGGGATTTTATTTTCCACGGGGAAGTAAACAATGATAAAATTATTGAAACATTTAAAAAATAAATGTATAAAAAAGTTGTACTCGTGTTTGAATACAAGAAATATTTTAAATGTTTTTGCTAAAACACGATAACATGAATTAAACATGATAAAACAACAACACTAAAGTAACTTAAGTTTTTGTGGTAATATATTTCATGTATGTTTCTAATGTTGCAAATGTCAATAAAGAGGACTCATTTGACGGTCTTTGCGACTCTTTTTAAATTAGTAACATAACTATTTGAAATAAATCCTTAAACTCGGAAATAACTTGGTTTTGTAGCAGTTTTAAGGAATCCATGAGACACTTCTATTTTCGTAAAATATGTTTTGGTTAACTAATATTCTTTTTTGTCAAGATGATTAAAAACGAAGGAATTGGGCACCTCACAGTTCCAGAGTTACAAGCAGCTTGCCGATCCAGAGGAATGAGAGCTTTCGGTGTTCCAGAAGCTCGTCTGAGATCACAACTATCCCAGTGGCTGGAACTCAGTTTGAATGAAAAAATTCCTCCGTCTCTGTTGCTTTTGTCTCGTGTTCTCTATCTTCCAGAAAGCTTACCGGCATCTGACCAGCTGAAAGCTACTCTTTCTGCTTTACCACAAGAAGCAGTAAGTGGTGTAAACTACCAGAGTTTCTAAAACTTAAAAAAGACTTTTAAATTTTATTCAACAAGCAATCATTGTGTTTGACTTTAAATGGAATGTGTAGATTTCATTTGGCTATAAACAAAAAGTTTTCTTACTTAGCTTGATCTTAACTATAAGAACTTCTAAATAGGATGATAATAGTTAAACTAAGAAAAGAAGATTTTATTAAATTTAATTTCTAATAGCTACAACTCCCAGTAACTAAGCAGTAAACTTGAGGGCTTATAATATTAAAATTTGGTGTTTGGTCCCTGTGGTGAGCACAGTGGAGATATAGCCCATTGTGCGGCTTTGGGCTTGAAGAAACTTATAATTGCATTATAAAAGTCTTAATGGTAGTTCAATCATCACTGGCTCTCTGTGAACTCTGGACCTATGCTTACGGAGCTGAGGTTTCACGGTTATGTTATAAAGGTTAAAGGTGACAGTAGGTGGGGTTAACTAGCAGCCTTCCATCTAGTCTATCACTTCAAAATTAGGGACGACTATAACTATAAAGATGATCCTTGTGTAGCTTTGTGTGAAATCAAACAAACATATATACAGGTTAACGTGTTGTGTAAACTTTACAGTAGGAACTAGCCGATGACAAAAGGACAATTAGCTAATAGACTAACCCATTGAATACCCCCAAAGAGCACAACAGTTACATGTAATTGTAACTGTCTTGAAATGTATGAAACGGAGCCTTCAAGGAACACAACTTCGTAAATGAACAAAAGCCACCACTATCTTCTGTAACAAACCCAATTATAAGCCTATAATTTTCAGAATTGTGTGTACACTATCAAATATATTTCTGTTATGATTTTTCTAAACAGTTCTCAGTCTTTTCCATATAAAAGAACCTTTTTTTTTTATATATGAGAGATATACATCAGTGATATATTAGCTACTTTGTTTTTCAGGCAACAGAAGCAAAATACAAAATAGGAGAGACAGAAGGGAAAGTTGATAATAAAACCAAGATTGAAGTTATCAGAAAAGAAGAAGTAGCTATTAGGAAAGAAAGTGAGGAGAGAAAGAAGGAGAAAGAAAAAGAGGAGGCAGGTTTATAACTTGTTTTATACAGACATTTATTAGAGACTCCGTTAAAGTTGCGAGACTTAGAATCAAAAGTTGAATATTTGTTGCTGTTAGTTGTGTTTTCGATATAATTTTTTTTCATTTATTTTTGCAACAAAAGTACTTAGCTTACCTATTGTAATTTCTGAGTTTGGATGGATAAGGCGGGAGTTAAATATCAATTTTCAAGAAGAGCTGGGTGATGAGTGGAATTTGCTAACCGATCGATCAGTCGGCTCATTAATTAATTAGTTAATTGCCCAGCTGTACTTATACGTCCTTTCTTATTAAAGCACCATTAGAATTACAGAATAACTTGTATTTTTTTTACAAGTGTACCTATGTTAACAATTAAATTTTTTAGAATAACAGTTTTAACGGTTAAGTAAACCAAACAAATGTACTTCTCGTTCCGGAGATGTAATAAAAATCGGATAGTATAAAAAACGTTATTTTTTGGGGGGAGACGATAGGATAGTTTCTAGGTGTATTGGTTTATTAATTATGCATACAAAACGTTAATATTTACTGATTGTTGGAAATTATTTACTGTTTGAAATTACACAAAAATTTAATGCTGTACTGCTTTTCTTTTTTTTAGCAAGCTGCCGCTGCTGTGGCAAAAGGTACGGTGAAAGAATTAGCTGAAGAAGGTACTCCTTACGTCGATAGTGTGGATGTTCAAGGTATTCAGGGTCTACCGGAAGAAGCAGTTGTATCGCCAAAGTTGAGCATTAGTGACATCTTGCAGGACTCTGCTTTACCCTTAGAAGATAAGGCAGATGAATGTAAATATTACAAATTCTCTGTCAGGTTCTTTGCCTGGGCTGGATTCTTTACAGTAGATATCTGTGAACCTGTTGGTGATAAGTGTAAATAATAAACAAACAGCACACAGTCCACTCTGTCAGGTTTTATGCGTGGGCTGGATTCTTTACAGTAGATATCTGTGAACCTGTTGGTGATTAGTTTAAACAATAAACAAACAGCACACAGTCCACTCTGTCAGGTTTTATGCGTGGGCTGGATTCTTTACAGTAGATATCTGTGAACCTGTTGGTGATTAGTTTAAACAATAAACAAACAGCACACAGTCCACTCTGTCAGGTTTTATGCGTGGGCTGGATTCTTTACAGTAGATGACTGTGAACCTGTTGGTGATAAGTTTAAACAGTAAACAAATAGCCCACAGTCCACTCTGTCAGGTTTTATGTGTGAGCTGGATTCTTTACAGTAGATATCTGTGAACCTGTTGGTGATAAGTTTAAACAATAAACAAACAGATTGCAGTCCATTTGTTTTAAAATAATATATTAAAACAAGCCAAACGTAAGACATAATAGGATATTTATATACATTAAACATTTACTTTAGTTTATAAAGCTACTGAATGTGTGAAATCACGTGGTCTTCCTTAATTTTTTTGTCAATTGACATGGTTTAGAGCTCAACCACATTAAACACTATTCTTATGGACATATGTCTTCCAGTGACTTGCAGGCTTATAAGACTAAAAATCAAGGTTAGATACCTACAAAAAAGCACAGCACAGCAAAGCCAGTTGTGTAGCTTCAAACTTAAAAACAGTCATCTAAATTTAAAACATTTGTTTGAATTTGTTGAAGTCTTCAGCTTTATTGTTATCTAACTTTTTTTTTACATTAGTGGATCGTGTTGAGCAGTCTATTATAGAACAGTTAAAAGAGGAAGAATTATCAAAAGAGGATTTTTCCAGTTTACAAGATGCTCTGGAGAATATAGCAAGTGAGAAGAAAAAGCTTTTGTTGGAGAAAGAAGGACTGGAAGAGCTGAAAGAAGGAATGGCCGAGTACAAAGAGGTATGATATTGTACGTGTAAAAACTGAAAGCTTGCCATATTAAAATTTATAGTACGGTAACTGTGATGGTTGCATTAGGGTTAAAAGGTTGGTGTAATCCGCTAACCCCATATGGAAAGAGTTGAAAGGTCAAGATCAACTTTGAAAAAGAAAAATAGAGTTTCTTTATAAAAGAAAATATAGTAATATAAATACACACAGACGCCAAAACCAAGAATAAAAGTTGTGGGGTGGGGGAATATCACCCTTTCTATTGATGGCCATTTTTATGCATGTAAACCTAATAATTATTAAAACTTAAAACCAGTTCCCCTGGTGGTGATATGATGCAAATAATTGATATTATTTGATTCCTTTTGGAGTTACTTACTGTTGTATGCAGGGGAGCATTTTAAAATGTTAGCAGCTTAAGACATGATCCAAATTGAACCATCACCTGAAATGTCTTTTATACTTTTACGATATTTAACTATTGTCTTTTAATGAATTATAGGTAAATCTGAAAATTTGTCTGTCTGACAATTGCTCTGTTTCAAAACATTTTTGAAGCTTCGAAAAGTTATCTTCTACATAATGCAAACTGCAGTGTCTGTCTGAGCATTCGTCTGTCTCTCTCTCTCTGTGGACGAGAGAATGCCACAAATCCTTTTTAAAAAAATCATATTTAAACAAAAATTGTTAAGCTTATTTTAACAATATTATTACTTAGGTTAAAGTGAAATACGATATCAATTTCTATGTTTACGTATCGAAATCTTAGATATTATAAACCCACTAGTGTGAATCCAGCATCTATTATTACAGCTTCAGTTGTTTATTAGATGGTCACCAGGGGTATAAACACACATCCTAATGATACTGCGGGTGCATGAATAATCTCGTAACATGATTGTAGCTTTCTCGTTGTGTTAAGCTAAAAGTATACATTATTATTACATCCCTTACACAAAGGTATATTTCTCGTAAACTGTTCTTTACCATTGTTCTCAAACAATTGTCTGTGAACTGGTACAGGTTTGGTACATCCACCGGATTGGTCCATGAGATTTCACGAAAACAAATAAAAACTGACAGAATATATATATAAATCGGTACATATTTAATTGTGTTTTTACTAGTTAACAACGGCAGTGGGCCAGTCGCTGGTATCAAATAGATTGAAAAAATACTGCTTTATAACATAATCAAATATAGGCCTAGTATATTAGCAGATATTTACGGTACATATTTAATTGTGTTTTTACTAGTTAATAACGACAGTGGGCCAGTCGCTGGTATCAAATAGATTGAAAAAATACTGCTTTATAACATATAATCAAATATAGGCCTAGTATATTAGCAAATATTTACGGTACGTATTTAATTGTGTTTTTACTAGTTAACAACGGCAGTGGGCCAGTCGCTGGTATCAAATATAGGCCTAGTATGTTAGCAAATATTTACGGTACGTATTTAATTGTGTTTTTTACTAGTTAACAACGACAGTGGGCCAGTCGCTGGTATCAAATAGATTGAAAAAATACTGCTTTATAACATAATCAAATATAGGCCTAGTGTATTAGCAAATATTTACGGTACGTATTTAATTGTGTTTTTACTAGTTAACAACGGCAGTGGGCCAGTCGCTGGTATCAAATAGATTGAAAAAATACTGCTTTATAACATATAATCAAATATAGGCCTAGTATATTAGCAAATATTTAAAACCATGCTTCCAGCTATTCAGGAAATTTTATACTTTAGATTCTGAACCTTATGTTAATCGGGGCTTTGGGTGTTACGTTCCTCCTACAGAGGTTAGTTTGAATTGTAATTATTCTTTCTTTTTTTTTTTCAGGATATAGAAGAATTTAAGGAAGCTCTCCTTGAATCAGGAGATTCAAAGTTGCAGGAGTCAAAAGCAGCAAAGCATTTATACAATAAAGTCAACAAAATGGTTGTGAAAATGAGTGCAGTACTGAATGAACTAGACAAAGAGAAAAAGGTGTTACAAGAACAGATTGAAACCCTGGCTCAGAAGGGAGAAGATGTTGACCTGAAAACGTGAGATTGATTCATTTTCAAACTTTTTTTTTAGTGACAGTTATGTTGTTGTTTTTTGCCCATACTTCTGTTATGAAATGACCTATTGTCTCAGTGACCAACCACGTCCAGAAGTGATGTTTTAAACAGATATTACCGATAATAAAACAGTTAGCGTATTGAATTATTTTATTTAAGTTGTCTTTGCATTGTAAGAAGAAAACAAAGTTCAAAATACTTACAAACATCCCCAAATGGAACGTAAAAAGGCAGGCTTGAAGATGATTTCAGTTTATTCTGTGTGGAAATATTGTGTTGAAATGTTTCTGGAAAAAGTTTAACCCTTTTTTTTAAACACCCCATACTTACAAAAATCAGTGGAAATATTTTTTGTAAACCTACCAAAAGAAGTTTATTTTTATAAAAATATTGTTTCAAATTTAGGTTTAGGATAATTTGTAAACACCATGTTTCAATGAGTGATCAGTAAAAATTCAAAAGTCCATAATCCTTGCAAAAACAGTGCAGGTAAAAAATGTTACTCGGTTGCTAACCCGTGTGCATGGAACCGACCCCGTATTGGAGAAAGAACATTGACTGTATTTCTGCAAAAAACACGACAAGATTTCGGTAAAATGTAACAGATTAGTTACAAAAGTATTTGTACTCGAGATACATCTGTGAATTGACGATGTCAGTCAGAATGCAAGGCAATGTTCATGTGAAAAATAAAGATACTTTTGTCCATTGTAGAGTCTGCGGGTTGTAATCGAGTAACCTCTAGGACTTCTGAAATGGATATCTACAGGTTTTTTTTCAGTATCGCCGTATCTAGTATTAACTCTCCTCCACAATGATTGTCATTTAATTAGCAATTAGGATGAAATGAGTAGTTAATAACTCTGACGTTGAATACATAATACCATGATGAATGGCTTGTGCACTTTGACCTCCATCCGTGTGCATAGGATTAACAGGTATAAACGTTCTTGGGCCACAAAAGCATTAAACTTGACATAAAATCATATTTTAATTCATTTACATTACTTTGGTGGGTTAACACTTACCTACATTATGTTATCTTGCATGTTTAAAGACAAGATGGGTGTTGTATTTACCGAGTAAGTAGACTTGGGTTTTATTACCCAATACAATGATTATTTTGTAGTAGAACATTGTATAAGGTCAATAAGTTTGACAAGATGGGTGTTGTATTTACCGAGTAAGTAGACTTGGGTTTTATTACCCAATACAATGATTATTTTGTAGTAGAACATTGTATAAGGTCAATAAGTTTCTTGTGATTTGTCTGGAGTTTTTAAGTGATCTTATTGTTTACCACAAGTAAAGAAACATTTGTATTTTTAATCAATTATTGCACTGCTAAACATTTAATTTTATTTTTTTCTCTAACAGCGATAACATTATCAGTATCAGTGATCTGATTTGTGCTATTCAAAGAATTCAAAAAATATCAGATGATACAAGACTTCAGAGAATTGCCGATGTTCTTGACCAGATGGACGTTGACCATGATGGAGCCGTGGAATTAGATCACGTTCTTAAGGTAAACGACTAATAAATAGTGATCATTGGGGAGTTAAAAAACATTCTGGGCACAAGAGAAAAAGAGTATTGAAAATATTTTTGTTATGACTTGGTAGTTATAACTAAGAACTTGTAGTCTCAGTAAATTAGAGAAGGCCAACAATTTAGTAAATTACGTTGGCATTAGTACATCAATAATGTAAATGATGTGTTAAAGAGTTAAATTAGACAGAAAACGAGGTAGTAAGAGGAAGCAGTAAATGTATTGTCACCTGATTTTAATGATAACACTATTTCTTCTGCCTGTTCTTCATCTGATGTATTCATTATCTATCTCACACTACACTTACTGCCTGTTCTTATGTATATGTTTAATTTCCAATCATATAACAATATATCTTACTTGTATGTTTACTCTCTAACCCCTGTGGATGTCAATGTTCACATATCATACAGGATGTTTGGATAGATCGTGAAAAAGCGAGACCCATGTTTGACATTTCCATCTCTCACAGAAGCTTTTTAAAAGTGAAAATTACAGTAGTAGGTAACCATAGAGGAAGTAGGTTTTAAAGGCAGCAATGTCAACATTATTCTTATAAAGTCCAATTAACAGTGGGAATATGAACCATCTTATTCTTTTGTGAATAACCGATGGCATCATGAACCACTATGAAAATAACGGAACTGAAAACACAACTCTCTTTAGAACAAATCAAGCTGTAATTTAAGCATTTTCTCTCTGTTTTATAGGCAAGTTGAAAAAATACATTTATAATAGGTTCATTAAGTTCAGCACCAAGAAAGTTGAGAGTAGAAAAACCCTCTGGAAAGCATTATCATGATGACACTATAAAATAGACTTAACAGAAATAACAGCACAAAAGTCCATTGTAGCTATGACAGAAGATTTGAGACGTATGTGGTAGAATGGAATTTCAGTTCTTCCAGCTTGTGCTTGTTTGGACACCCATTTGTTTCACTTTAACGCCATAAGCTTAAGAGTATTTTTCAACATTAAATAAATCCTTGTGTATATCTTGGTAACGGTGTTGGAAGTTACGCTTAGCTTCACAATGGAGAGGCTTTTTTTTTCCTTTGTAACCATAACTTTCACTTTGTGGATAAAGTATGCTGCTCAAGATTGGCTTGGGGGGGGGGGGCATATTTTAGAAACCCGTGACTATCTTAAATGCACTATTGCACATTTTTGTACTTCCGTGAAGAATGCTGGACCCACCATCATTTGTTGATTTTATTTTAACGTAATTTGGCGAGACTTGTATGATGTTAAAGCAAGTGTTTATGAATGTAGACATCGGTTGATTTCGGATGTATTCAAAGTAATTACTTCTTTTCTTCAGGTAATTGAATTACTAGGGAACCAGGATGTAAAGGTTAGTGTTAAACAGATGAAAGAAATAATTGAACTTCTGGCTAAAGAAGAAACTCTCGAATTGGTCAAGAAAGTTGAAAAGGAGCAAGTAAGACTTCACAGTCAATCCCCCGAAAAAGCCAGTACCAATCACGGAGAAACTTTTGGAAAGGAGGTTGAGAAGAGGAGTAAGGAGGTTGAAGAGCAAAAATGACATTAGTGAATAATAGTTTGTATGTATGTCCATAAATTTATATTGTATACTATCTGTTCATGTTGGTTATAAATAGCTTATTATCATCTAGCATATATATATATATATATATCCACTGATATGATGTGAGGAATGTATTATACTGATTGTAGAGTCAAAAATACATGCAAATGTTTAACAATAATTTTAATTAAATTGCTACATCTTGATTAATAGGTTATGTACAGTAAAAAGTTACAAATAAAATGATTAGATTACGTTTTCTTCCTTTCTTATAGTCGAAGATATTTAATTGAAAAGTCCCCTACAACATCTACTTTTCTTATTTCTTAAGCCCACACTGGTTCAGCAGTAAACCCGAGGGCTTATAACCATAAAAATCAGGTTGTGATACCCATGGCTGGCAGAGAACAGATAGCCAATAATGTGGCCTTGCGGCAATTAAAACTTGCTTCGTAAACGGTCCGAAAAAAGGTCGTAAGGCTTGTAACTCCCCACTTTGAAACCGGGAAGATTTACGTTACTGCTGCTCCTTGGGCACTTGTACCAGATCTTTCCATTGAAAGATAACCTGAAGAATAAGGATTTCGTGTCTAATGTCAAACTTTGGCTGGTACTTCCTTTACCAGTGTTTGGGGAGAAGTTTTAACTTGGAAAAACTTGTCCTCAACTATATGCACTGATCACGATATCAAGGATGAATATACATCATATGACTAGTGTTTTTAAATCTTATCTCAATTTAGGCTCCAAATTCCTGTTGTTTTTTTTTAATAACATAAAAAATCTTGGAGTAATGACATACCTCCCAGTAAGTCCATTAACACCTTATTTTGAAAGTGGTCCTATTTTTTTTTATATATGAGAGTTAAAGTTCTACATGTAATGGTAATAAGAAAAGCAAGATGATAAATATATATATATAAGAGACCTATTTGGTCCTAATAATAAACATCTTATGTTTGATTCAGATTGTTTGTTGTTCGTCAAAACGATTAAACGGGAAACCTTTTAAAAACTATTTTTTTTATGGCCAATGGGCATATAAAAACTTGTATTTTTGTGATAAACATGGGTACTACATAAAACTCTGTACCTTAATTACCAGGACTTGTATTTATTACTGTTTGGCTCCATCCTATGAACTGTATGGTTTTACTTGTCGTTGGCACAAATATCGCATCTTAAATACGACAAAACTAAGTATGTATATGACAAGACTTTTGGCACATTCTTTTCCCGAAACCATCCAAACTGTACTAATGGGATTTTACACAATTAAGTTTAGTAGTTTCAGAATTACTACGCCATTAAAAATAATCATCACCCCTCCCTACTAAGTAAAAATGTAAATTTTATGTGACCAGTGTCTACTAAAGTTTTCCCTCCATTAAGTTTGAAAACTTGTGTACTTGTTTTGTATCAGAAACATCACGTAACATGATACAACTGTTTGAAAACACAGAGTCTTAAAGAGTTCTCTCGCCAGTCTTTTGGGTAGAAATTGGTCCTAAACCTCACACATTACAAACACCACATTACACTACTCAAATTACTACAAGAATTTTCTTTTTTCGTTTATAAAAAAATGTAAGATGAAAGAGACTTGCTTTCACTGGTATCACAGATTTCTGTTATAACTTAGAAGTTGTGAAACTATCATAGGACCATTAAATGCATGCAAAAATAAAAAATCAATTCTCTAGGTTAATAAGATTAAGCGTTGTGCACAGTTTCAAGGGTTCGGAAAATAAAACCGATGTTTCAGCTTCTCAGCACTGTACAGTAATTACAAATAATTTAATTTTAAAAATAAGAAAACGTTTTTGTTTGACTTATTACCTCTATTTAGTTATCAACCAAGGTAAGAGATCAGCGCGTTTGATCCTAGCAACGGTTTACATGCTAACACACAGATTCTCAGCGTGTTTGATCCTAGCAACGGTTTCCATGCTAACACAGATTCTCAGCGCGTTTGATCCTAGCAACGGTTTCCATGCTAACACACAGATTATCAGCGCGTTTGATCCTAGCAACGGTTTCCATGCTAACACACAGATTCTCAGCGCGTTTGATCCTAGCAACGGTTTCCATGCTAACATACAGATTCTCTATTAAACCTTGTATTACTACTGTCCCCCGACAACTCCGATTTCAGTTTCTCTAACTCGGACTCGAGACGTTTATTTCTTCTATACATTTGTATGTAGTTTAATTGTAACTGTTTCTGATATTTGATTACTTTTTCCTTCTCTTCCAGCCACTGCATTCTCTCTTCTTCGATGCCTTCTTTGGTCGTTTCGAGTTTTCTCTTCGTTAACGCCAGTTCCGAACTAAGCGTTTCAGTCTTTCTTCTCAGCTCTTCTATCCGGTTTAACTGTTCATCTTTTTCTTTTATACATTGCGTCTGTGTTTTTGCACCCACCAACACTTCTTCAAATTTCTTCTTGATGCGATAAACTTCTGTCTGGCTACTTTGCAGGCAGTTTTGAAGTTCTGCGATTTTGTCTTCTCTTTCTGTCACTAGATGGCGAAGCTCTCTCACTTGAGATTTCAGTGCTAAAAGCTCGATCAGTCGACTGTTTTGCCCGCCTTTGGAATCTTTCAGATGCGACTTTAAAAATGATATTTCTCCTGCCTTTTGACATAACGTCCATTCCACCTCTTCGCATTTTTTACGAAGTAGGTCAAGTTCTTCGTGATGTTTCTTGGCTTCTTCTTGGGCCAATGTCCTTTCTTGTATTAATGTTTCCATCTCGTCTTGGAGTCTTCGCCTTTCCACGAGACTCTGTATAAAAATAAAATTATTTCGTTTATCTGTATTATAATAAAAATAGATAAATATATATATATATGTGTTTGTGCATTTACGTAAACAAAATTAATAACTAGTCGGCGAAAGCTTGTGATTTTTAGAAAAAAAAAATTCCCATTTTAGAGTATTTTCTAATCTGTTTTTTCGTAAATTGAAACTGCTATATGTAGTGATTATAAAATACTGATACGATGCTTCAGTTCTCTTGAATATATATTTATTGACATCATCACTAATCTTCGTAATACGAAGCTTTTCCAATAAAAGCATAAATACGATTGGCTACCAGATTAAGATTTGTTTCATTACTTTTGATTGGAGCTTCTGCCAACCTGTTTTAGTGAATTTTACTCAGCTAAAAACCAAAATGGTTGAAAGTAGGGTTAGAAATGTAACTATACACGACTCAAGTCTACAAAAACAGAACAACTGCCACAGTTATATTTTAGATTTACCAATAAGTGTAGTTTTAAAGTACAATGCCTCGCACCCTAAATTAGACTTTTTTTCCCCAATGCTAATGTTTGTTTAACATTAGGCTAGGGGATCTGTCCCCCCACTTTCCAATCTGTCCCTATAAAAATGCATCAATTTTTTTTACTTTTAGGAAAAGTAGGAGAATGTATAAAATTTAATGCAGAATCCAAGAGCTTCCATGACACTAAGGATCGGTCAAATAAACCTTGTCCGTCCACCCACATACACCTCAGTATGCCAAAAACCAGAATTATTAACAAACAGCTACAAGTTAAAAAAGTTTGGTAACGTGTCACTTTAAGCCGTTTTGCATTAATTTTATATTCTTTCGGGGCATTTCGACTTTAAATTATTAAGAATTTTCGCATTGTTTAAGGATTTTAAAACTGTGCGAGATACACTTACAGTGCTTACGCGAATATCGTAATAGAAGTGAAGACTTCTGAATACGTGCATTATTTGTGTTAGAAAACACAAGAATAAGTGACTTCCCGCTGGTCACAAGTGACTCCTCCACACTTGTGGTTTCAAACTTCTAATATGCACGGCTTGTCTAACTGTAAATCCGAGGGTCCACGGTTAGCGTCCCGTTCCCTAAAATCGTGCTCTGTACATTAGAATCGTTAGTGCGTTATAAGAGTAATGACCAAAAGTTTGCAGTGAGTGTTGTTGACTAGCTACCTTCCCCTCTAATCTATTAGTTCCAAATAATAGGCGGATAGCGCAGATAGCCCTCGAGTAGCTTTGCTGGAATATCTGAAAAAAACAAACAAACTAAGGTTATTAACGTTTAAAGTTTCTGATACCAGATCCATTACAGTTACTGTACGTGTATGTTTTCCACACATTTCAAGTTTGGCTGTCGTCCAATTCCGCATTCAATGATGTTTCGTCTTCCATTTGTTTAATTACATATTGCCGAATTGTATTTTTGGTTCCTCTCGACATATACCGTTTTATTACTGTCCTGACGTGATTTATTACCCGACTTTGATCACATTTTGTGTGTCATTTTCTCTATTGAATTTATTTCAATTTTGATGTACGACTAATTCAACATGTTTAATACGATTTTGTTTCACTCAACCTGGCATTACTCTCCAAGTTCTATTATTTAACTTTACCGATATCCTCGAAGGGAACTAACTAATCGAGGTTTAGGGATGGTGATGCAAAAACGTTATTGGTTGGTTGTCTCACCAATAGAACTCGGCGAATGGGCGCGTGCATTTGTTTCCACAGTTGTCTGAAAGATTTGGAACTTTATATCGTGTCTACGACTTTTAATACATCATTGTTTTGTTACTTAAGTAATTTGTAAAGTTATAGAATACATTTGGCTTCTGGTTTATGAGAAACGTGTTTGATATTGAAAGTTATTTGTTTTTATCCTATCAAACAACATTTCCGCTTAGAAGCTGATAACTTCTATAGATTTATAAACATTTTTCGACGTGTTTATGAACACATTTCTGTCTATTTTTACCTCTTATCATAATACAATGTTCAGGAAGTTAGCCTCAAGTGAGTGTTACAAGGAAACTTTAATATGTAGCGATACACATGAATTGTTGTTGTTGTTTTATTATTCAAGCTAAACTTTTGGTGCGTATCTGTTGCTGTACACGTGCTGTTTCATCAAGCCAATCTTTTGGTGCGTGTTACCAACCAAGCACTTGTTTACACGTTTTTTACCCGTTACCAAGCTTTCTTTGTATCTCCTTACCCCGTTACTAAGCAGTTGTTTACACGTTTTTACCCGTTACCAAGCTTTCTTTGTATCTCCTTACCCCGTTATTAATCAGTTGTTTAAACATTTTTACCCGTTACCAAGCTTTCTTTATATCTCTTTACCCCGTTACTAAGCACTTGTTTACACGTTTTTACCCGTTACCAAGCTTTCTTTATATCTCTTTACCCGTTACTAAGCAGTTGTTTAAACATTTTTACCCGTTACCAAGCTTTCTTTATATCTCTTTACCCCGTTACCAAGCAGTTGTTTATACATGCTCCCGTTACTAAGCAGTTCCGACCTTCCAAAACTGACAGTTTTTTTCTACCACAAGAAGGGTTAAACATGTCCACAGAACTGTTTTCTTTTTTATTACAACTAGAATTATAACATAGGCGTACACATAGTTCTCTATGTCAGTCGCTGCTGCACGTTTTCTTGTTGATAGATTAGTCGTTTTGGAAAACTGACGTAATGTTGAATCAACTGGAAAAAAAAACCTCACAAAAAACCATGTGCAAATTTCTGCTAATTGCACATGAAATCACAATTTTCTTAATTGTTAATAGAGTGTCGCAAGTCCAAAATATACATCCAATAATACGGTGCAATTGTTCCTAAATAAAATAAGTAGTAAATTCACTGTTTACACAAACGTTACTGCATTTCTTGTCTCGAATTATGAATTAAAGCAACCAATTTAAAGGCGTGACAACTCAAGAAGCGATATTTCATTATCACGAGGACTTTCCAGTAATGAAATAATATAGATACTTAGAATATATGATAAAAGCGGGAGAAACGTGAAAGAAAAACGTTTTGCAAAATGAAACGAGTTAAGAGTAAGGGGCGTAGCCAACACTACAAAGTGTGTATGGGGGGGGGGTTCTTCCCCCCACACATCCGGCTACGCCTCTTTAGAAATACAAGTTGAAGCACGCGGGTATGAAGAAACTATTTACAGACTAGCACATTTCAGGTTTAATCTTCAATTGAACTCAAACACAACTGCATTTAGTACCCGTGCAGTGGCTTTAAAATATTCCTAAAATTTCGTTAGATAATCCAATATGTGTGGGGGGGGGGGGGGGGTAGTCGGTGCATTCGAGATTATCTTAAACGGTCACCTCTATTGACATCCCAAGACGGCATAGAGTTCACGAGTTATGACCTTCTTCAATCTCGATGGCAACGGCCGCAGAAGAAGAGCACCGTACATACCCAACTTCTGATGACGGTTGATCCTCACGTATAGGATACAACGCATTTTTCCTGAGGGGGTAATGGCTTCGAGAAGTAGTTTAATTAAATGGGAAAACTATCATTATGCCCAATAAACGGCAAACGCTTCCCGATTCGTCCCCCCATGTAGCAGGTTTGCTTGTCCGGTTTGTTGTGTACCAGGATCCCCGTCGGACTAAATATCTGGCAAAGTGCCATCGGCCCCTGAACGTTCACCCCTAACCACACCCTACATTTAAATGGAAACGGCTGGTTGTTTATGTAGTTGCGTCTTATGCAATAATCGTAAACATTTGCAATCTAAAGATCCTAATGATGTGTTCTAAAACGACCCCCTCAAAAGAAAAAGTCGGGGTAATCATGGTAACAATATTTGTTAGTCAAGCGATTAAGATTGGCACTTGACTAACTTTTAGTTCACAAGAAATAATTTATAGCAACGTTTCTGCTTAATTAATCTTGTAATTATCACACAATAAATTAACAGTTCAGTTCTAAAAGAATTATTAACATGTTCCACCAGATGGAGCAACAGCAAGAAATACTGAAAACGAGAATCTTCAGGTAAATTAATCTCTTTCAAGATAGATTTTAATTTTTCAAATTAGAACTATTTATTTATAGAATTGATTTCGATGCATTAACACGAACAAAATATTAATTAAAGTTATAAAGCTTAAGTACCTTTTTTTCCCCCTATTTACTAGCAAGTGAAATGGATACAAATATTCAATTTGCACCTCACGTGTAAATCTGTGTTCTATAATCTATTTCTAAAGGTTGGGGACTAATACGAAAGTGGTTAAGAAATTTAAGTGAAATACCAGCGATAACAGATTAGAAGGTTAAGTTTACGTTGTTATTTGTTGTATTTCGCGCAAAGCTACTCGAGGACAATCTAGTTTAGCCGTCCCTGATTTTGAAATGATTGCTTAGATGGAAGGCTAGTCACAACACCACCCGCCATCAACTTGTTGGTCAGTCTAATTGTTTGTTGTTTGAAAGCTACACGAGGGCTATCTGCGCTAGCCGTCTCTAATTTAGCAGTGTAAGACTAGAGGGAAGG